GCCGGCAGCGGCGGAGCGAGGCCCCGCGCAGCACGGTCCTCCCGGCTGGGGAGCCACCCCGAGGTCGCGGGCTGGGGCGCGCGAGAAAGCCGTGCGGAGCTACGCGGATGGACGAGCGGCACCGACGCCCCCGCGCGGCGCGACACACCCCGCCGGCCGGGGAGGGGACCCGACTCACCCCGAGGCGCCCTCCGGGCTGCCCGGCCCGGTTCCCGCTGCGCCCGCCGCCGCCGAACTTTCCCTCCTGCTCGGCGGCCGCGGGCTCGGCTCCACCTCCCGCTCGGCAGCCGCGGAGCCTCCAGGGACCCGGGGGGCGGGGAGTGGCGGCGGCGGCGGCGGCTCGGGCGGGCGGGCTGAACCGCGGCCAAGCCCCAGCGCCCGCCGCCGGGTGGGAGCCGGCCGGGCCCGCGAGCCCGCGCGGCGGCAGCCACCCGGCTGGGATCGCGCTGGCTGCGCCCACCCGCGTCCCCCACAACCCCTCTGCAGTGCGTCCCTGCGCCCGGTCTGAGCGGGGCGCCCTAGCTCAGGCTTGTCATTCTGCAGGGTCCCGAAGGGGGACAGTCTTGCGAGAGACTGGTCACTGAGATCAGGAGAAGTTGAGGGAAGGGGCTAGGACGTTGTGGCGTGCCCCGGGTCCCAGGAGAGAGGTGGATAAGTGTCTAGCCTGCAACTGTGGGGTCCTTCATCTTTCGGTTCCCCAGTCCCCCACTAACCACCTCTGTTTTCCTTTGCCGTTACTGAAATGCCCTAACCCCTGTGGGCCGACCTGCCTAGGAAACTTGGTAAGATTGCACTTCAGAGAAGTAATTCGCGGTCTGTGTTACGCTGGTCAGTATAACGCCTCGGTTAGAGAACTTTCATTTACTGCGAAGGTCAGAAACCCCTTTAACTCTGAGACACCTCCACCGAGAGTTAGTAAAGGCTGCAGGGACCACTGGCGGCCACTGGGAGCCCTCGGAGAGAAGTGGGAGAGGAAGGAGGAAAGGATGGAAAGTGGGCAAGTAGGGTATTAAAAAATAAAGGATACCACCACTGCCCTCAACACACGCACATTCACCTCCACCTGTCACCTGTCATTTGTAACTGCCCCACCCTGACCTGTGCGAGAGGGAGTTGGGAAGTATTATGATCCCCAATTCTCAGTATAATTGAAGGGGCCTCAGGAGGAGTCAGTGATAGCCTGGAAGAGGTGATCTCCACCTCCTGATGCAGCCAGGCAACTCGCAATGGCCCCTTGATGAAGGATGGCAGACCAGAGCTGGAAACAGAATCCTGTGATTCCTGGTGTAGAGCTCCTTCTACTGCCTGACCGTCAGAATGCTCAAAGCCCTCATCCCAGAGATTTCAGGACACCAGATTTTTATGTGGGCACAAAGTAGTGGGTCTGTGAGCAGCTAAATTCCCATTAAGCACCCATCCTTGCAGCAAGTCTGGCTTCTTACCAGGATTCCCCAAGTGACTCTGTCCCCACTCCCACACCTCAAGTGAGCAAATTCAGCCTTGTGACCTGCTGTCATCCCCACAGCAACTCAGTTGAGATTTGGGAAAGAGGGAAGAATCAAGTATTCACCAAATGAATAAAAAATATAATGTCTGTTCTGTTGCTGCCCGCCCCCTAAGCTGCAGGATAATGGAGACAATGAAGAGTTAACACAGGATACATACATCCATATGTAGGTACAAGCCACTGGCCAAGTTCATCCACACATTTTCTCCTAGCAACCTCATAAAGCAAACCATATGACAGTCCCCATTTGCAGAAGGACAGCACCACTTGGAGGTTGGAGTTAGTTGTAAGTTATGTAAAGGTTAGTGCTTTCACAACCAAATACTCTTTTGAGTAGCCAAGTAACCTCTTCAGAGCCTTCTGGCTACCACCCAAACATTCCCACACCTACAAGTTGTGTCAAGTTGTTAAAGTATTGATTTTTTTTCCTCCTGAATTATCTCCCATCTCTCCATTCAGTGATATATCCACAATTATATAAAAACAAAAAGCATGGAATCTGGTTTGAAAACTGGCCAGAAAACCTGACTATGTGCTTCCTTGACCCATTACAGACATGTGTTGTCAGCTTCAGGTTCTAAACTGTGTGGATCATTCTGGGGAAGTCAAGGGAGGTGCCTTTGTGGCTGCAACTGTCTCTCTCTTCCTCTTATCTTAAAAAGGAAAATGGCTTCAAGATATGATGACATTTCCTTTGGGGACTCAACACACAAAGATACCTGGAGGTACTATTTCCAGCTTCTTTCCCTTTAGATACTAGTTTATCTGCATAGCAGTAGGCATAGCAACATGTATCAAATCAGTATATGTCAATATACATCCAGGCCTAAAATTGATTCTAAGGGTTTAGTGCTTTTCTGGACATTGTGACAATAAAATGTATGAAAAAATAAGGGAGCTGAAAAAGTGATAAAACTATGAAACTAAATAACATCATAATTGAAAAAAGATACATTTTTTTCTGGATGTACTAACCAGAAAGAAAGTAGATCTGTAACAGCCTTTGGATTATCCCATTGGGAGCCACTATTACCAAACTGTGTCAGCGTTGTATTTCATCTCCATCACCAGAAGCAGCAGTGTCTGAGGAGAAAAGAATAAGCAGCATGTCTCTGCAGTTCCCATTTCTTTAAAATGCCCAGCTGAACTGAGCAGCAAAACCAGTAGAAGGATGGGATCCTAAAGACCCCAAAGACCAAGGGCCAGAATGACCTATTACAAAGAAAGGAGAAGTTTTCCCCATGGAATTTAACCTAACAGCATTGTATGGTTAAGCATTTTCCATAAATATGATTTAGGAATAAAACTGTGTTATTTGATTTTCCAAGGATATAACAGAGGTGCCTTAATATGGCACTAGTGATATGGTAACAGTAAGGAAATATATAGAAAGTTCTGGAAATAACTGAAGCCATGATACCAGAATGATTTTTATCCCCTGGGGGAAAAAAGGTCGTTTTTTATAAAAATAAATTTTAAAACAATGCATAAAATTGGCAAAATTTAACATTTATAAAATGCAAAAATACGCATATTATATTTAATTTCTCCAATGACTTGTTTCAAATAGAGACTACACAACTGTTAAACTTTTAAGTTCAGAAATGTCTCATACAGTTCAAGTTTGGACTTCTCAGCCTCACCCAGATCCTTGAGAACCTTGACCCAGAGCCATTCAGGAGCTGAACCAACAATTGTGAAACATCACTGACCTTACTTTATAATACACACACTCAAGTCCAGGTGGCTCTTCTACTAGTCAGGGTTATCTGATCTCTTGGATAAGTGCAAATGTGCTAGGTAGTCAGAGGCAGGTCTTTAGATGGAAGAGGTCTGTTGTACTCAAGCACAGAGACTGGCCACACAGTGTACTGTGGGTGCCAAGTCACTAAGATAGGACCTAATTATATCCCATGCAATCTGCTTAAGGAAGCTCAAAAATAGGAAATATACTTTTCAAGTAAATTTTCATTTAAAGTAAGTAAAGTAAATAATGTTTGACTCCGAGGAGCTTTGTTTTTCTAGGGAAAAAAAAAATGTGTTCAAGAGCACTGTAAGTCTAATAAGCAAGGGCTCAATGAATATTGGTTTGACTGTGTAAGGATGTCTTACATTAACATCTTTAAATACACACATCAAAGTTAATTAGCCATTTCACACTATTTTCAAATTTACACCCTTATCGTTCATGTCTTTCCAGATCATTTCTGGACAAGAACTGAAATGAAAAAATGTGTTTCTTGCATTGCGCTCCAAGCTCTCTCCACACAACAGGCGACAGGAGCCATTCCCTGTTAAACAGCTCCAGCAGTACAGCTGAGATCCCACATGAAAGCCATCTAGAAGGTCTGGTGCAGCGCAGGTTGGCTTTTCCATTCTCCTATGTACCCAGCCTCCTCAGTCCTTCTATCTATAGGAGAAAAACAGAGGTTTACAGAGGGACCTACAGAAAAACAAGATATGTGAAGCAGCAGAAGTCAATCCACACCAGTTCTACATCCATAAAATCCAGATGTCTAAGCACAGTTATGATCAAAACAGTGTCTTTTCTTACAAAACCATTTGCATGAATACACTGATGCACATATTTAGCTCACCCAGGCCTTTATTTATGAATAGGAATACTGCTTTTGCCATCTGGTAACTCAAGTCTCGATAGGTTAGTTAAGGGGTCCTCAAAATTTCATTTCTGCTTTAACTTTTTTAACTCTGGTAAATAGGATATTTTGTGTTGCTATCATCTTCCTGAGCCTACTAGCAACTTTTTTTTTTTTAAAAAAAGCATCATTTATTATTTAAGTCAATATCTGCAAAGTCCTGTCCCACTTTCAGATTTCACTTTGTACCCTTTCACTGCTATAAATATTCAGGATGGTAAAGCCTCCATTAATAAAAGAATATGTTTCAATGACACATTATTGTAAGAGTCTTTATTACTGAGAGTAGAAACAGGATACATAAAGATGTACTCAAGGATATTAGAACAGAAGAACTACCGTATAAAATATAGACACTGAACAGTGACAGCATCCTGGGGAGGGGAAGGGAAAATATAGGAGGAATCAGTAGGTCCCCAAATAATAAAAGCCCTAGGAAAGCAACAAGTAAGCCACCCACCCGGAAAAAAAAAAAAAAAAAAGACGCAGCAAGGCAAAGATACTTCTGTAGAAAGCAAGCTTTGCCATGGCAGAAAAAGGGCATTTCCTTCCCTGTTCATATGTTCTTAGGCCCTGTGTGCAGAGGGATTCCCTGTGCACAGCCAGACACAGGCATCTAAGGGGAAACTCGGCGGCGTTCCTTCCCTAGCACCATAAGACACCCTTGGCTTTGCTGTAAACACGACCAGAGAATGTTTTAGTCAAATCATTACTCATCTCCAACAGTAAGTTAGGCAGTTACTGTGTGCCAGGCACTGTGGGAACAACAAAAATGACTAAGCGAAGTCATTATTAAGGAACCTAAAATCTAGTAGAAAAGACTGAGCCTAGTCTTTTAGGAGTACAAGGGAGAAAGTGAAGGGCAGATCCCTGCATTGCCCAGAGATGGCTTCATGTTAGAAGTGGCTTTTGAGGGAGCTCCTGAAAGGTGAGTAGGATTTTGATGGACAGAAAAGAGCAGGGGTACAGCCCAAGAGGTGATGCCTGACCAGTGAAGCAGAGAAAAGAGTGATCCAAAAAGACCAGAATGTAGGGGACATTCAGAGAGAAGGGTAAGACTCTAGAGGGACCTGAGTCTAGATTACTGGGGACCCTGACTGTCAGATGAAGACTATTGTCTGAATTTTAGTGGGATGGGAATGTGTGGATATGGGCAGGTTTTAGTTGAACAATCAGCCTTTCCCTTTTGCAGTGAGAGCCCTAACTGTGCTCAGAGCCCATCTCCATGAGGTCCCCCTGAGGCCCTAAAAGAGAGATCAAAGATGCCACCAACTATAGGAGGGGCTAGGAAGATAATTTATGACTGGTTAAGCCAGTAGGAAAATCAACGTGAAAAATAGCTGAGCCTATATCTGTGGGGCACCCCAGAGGCGAAGTCTGGTTATCAATTAGAAAGAGAGTCTTAGAACTTGGGAAAGGCCAGGGCTAGAGAAGTAGAGAGAATCCTCCTTGTACAAAAAAAAAAAAAAAAAAAATGTCCTTGTGCAAATAACAAGAATGAAAAGATCAACTGGAAAGAGTATATGCAGTGAAAAAAATAAAAGGTGGAAACTTAGAATTCTCAAGACAGAAAAGAGGATTCGATAGAGGAAGCTGAGAAGGAAGGTGAGAAAGACAGAGAGCTTCAGAAGTGAGGGTGAAAGATGGTCAGAAGCATAACATTTTGCAGAAGTCATTGGGGTGGTCATGAAGTTCCTTCTGCCAGACAGGAACCATTATCAGCACTTCAAAAATCTAATAGAAAGTTTTGTTTGCCCAATAGCAAAAGTTTCACAAGCTATCTAAATATTAAAGAGTTCTCTGGTTTTTACTAGAATCATAAAAATCTGTGTAGTTATGCTGACATTTCACAATGGACCCAAGTTGATTCAGTGTCAAGGCCAAAATGGGACTTTCTGAGTTGTGAAGGGCGACCCTGCCCAGCATACCATCAGTCTCAGCCTCAAAACCACGACACCCAGAATTAAGCAACCAGAAGGAGTGAACAGCACATGAGTAACTGTATATTTAGTTTTTCTGATTGTTTTTAGCATGACAACCATATCAGCAATGTGGTAAATTTATTATATGCCTTTGAGAATGACAAATCTTAGGTTAAAATCTGAATGAAACAGAGATGAAATAGAAAAATTATGTTCATACAAATGGGGGAAAAAACTGCTCTTGGTTCCCTTCCTTTTCCACCTCTGTAGTTACAGATTGTCAACACCCTTCACCTGCAGACGCAAGTCCTGAGTTTGTTTAAACGCCCTGGCCATTGCTGGGAACCACAGCCCCACCGTGAGTGAGGCAGGTGTGCTCAGCCAGTCTGAACATGAGTTGCTCCCCCCTCTAGCACCTTCTTCTCACAGGCACTTGTGATGATTGGCTTGGCCTTCTGCAAGTATGATTTCTTCTCCGGGAGCAACCTGGTTTGAGGCCTTATCCAACTTGGGTTCTGATATGTTCACCAGGCAAAATTAGCATAGTTCTCTGCACCTACCATCTCTGTGCCCAAACTCCTGTTGCCCACTCCCACATCCTCTTAACTCTACAACAGCATCACTCAAGTCAGAGTTTGATGTATCTCTTTAGGCATGGAGGTGAGACTGCTAGTCAACTCCCAGAAAGGCCAACACTACTATCCAGAAAGAAGAAAGGTAGCAGCAGGAGCAGGAGCATCTCTGCTATTAAAGATTTTTGGCTTTGACCATGTCCCAGCCACTGCTCTAAAAAATGTTTATGCTAGCAATTGTGCCACAGCTCTATAAAGAGATTGAGGCTTAAAGAGATCCCATGGCTTTCTCAAGGTCATGTAGCTAGTAAGCTGTGGGACTAAGATTCATACCCCGGCCAACTTCCATTCCCTGTACATACCCCCTGGGCTTCCCCTACCTCGTAGCCAGAGAAAAGGAACTTAGACAACTAATAAAATCTTTCAAAATGTATCTACAGGGCAAAGACAATAAAATAGATTCTTTATGATGGGAACCATTGACCTTCCCAATACTTTCCTCTGACAGCAAAGGTAAATCCAGAAAGGAGATTCAGCCAGCCTGATCCCTATTCTGATGCTCTGCAATACCACATGTGCTCTTTTATGTTCTGAGTAGAACTTGAGTGAAGCTATGGGAAATGAGACAAAGGATGGTTGGTTGACCCTTCTTATAGGTGAGCTCCATGTCCATTTGTTCAACTAATCTCAGATGGAAAATACTTTTTTAAAAAGTGTGTCTGTGCAGAACATTTACAGACTTTCATCACTATTTCCTAAACAATACAACATAACAACGATTTACATAGGATTGACATTGTATTGGGTATCATAAGTCATCTAGAGATGACTTATGTGTATAGGTTCAATGCAACACTCCACCATTTTCTAAGGGTCTTGAGTACCTTGGGATTTCGGTATCTGTGAGGTGTCCTAGAACCAATCGCCCCACAAATACCAAGGGACCACTGTATTGCAACACAAAGTTAAGCAAGATTTTAATTTTAATTAATGAGTCTGCCTCTTCAAGCGTTTGCTCTCTGCTGCAGTATAGCATCCCATGTTTTGTACTCTGAGGTGATAATCAATGTTGTCAGTACATTCTCAATTTCTTAAGTCAACAGCTAGAGTCATACCAACAGTGTTTACATAACTGGATAGAGAAGCTTTTGTTTCTCTTCTTTTCCGCAGAGCACAGATTTCTCCTTCATAATATTTCTTCTTCCTCTTTTTTTTTTTTTTAACTAGCATCTTGGATGACTACCAGTATCAGGATCTATAAACAGGGCTTCCCTTCAGATATAGCTTTTATCTTGATTGGCCAGAGAAAGACAGATTGCTCCTTCACTGATAAAGAGCTTTTTGAAGACTTACATAACTCCTGCCGTAATTTGGAACACAGTGCCTACGAAAAGGGGCCAAATATTGAGCTCTCATTGTTATATGGACAGCTCTGTGCTTTCAGAGTAATATGGTGACAACAGAAAAAATAACAAAATAAATAATTTAATATAGCATACTGCAGACGTATCAAAGAATTGGGCGTGCGTTCATTCACTCTTGGCCTCTTTCCCCAGGGAGGGAAGAGGCTGCTGAAGCCTCCCCATCTCAGAAAGTCCAACCAAAAATTTGCAGAGAGTGCTGGCAGAGTGCTCACTTCCAGTCCTGCCACCAACCAACCCATTCTGCGAAAAATCTGGGCAGTAATGCTGTTTCACGAAGTAATTTAGATGTTCAGAATCTGTCGCACAGACAACGGGAAAAATGTTTTCTAGTCAGGGCTCCCCTGTGCTCAGGTCTTTGTGAATGTCCTGATTCAAGCTCAGAATTTCTAGTTTTAATTAGTTGGAGGTTGACTCTAGCTGTGCTGTTTTAGATCATGGGTTTTGCACAGTGTGTTATGTAATTACAGCAGAGCTAGTGTTAGCTTTTAGATTCTCTTTCTTTAAGAGCACTACTCAGACCCAGAAAAACTGAGGGGCTAGGGAGCCTCTCAGAACAATAATCTATAAAAGAGACCAACCTATCACTAAAATAAATTGGAAATACAGCCTCAGTTAAACAGGGTAAAATATAATTTGTCTCACTATGTTTGGAATAGATATTCTTCAAATAGACATTCTGGATATGGCAAACACACACACACACACACACACACACACACACACCCTCTGTTGAGTATTTTGGTAATGTATATATGTATGTGCTAATTAGCAATTAGTTGCTTCCAATTGAAATTCTGAAATAAAGTATAATATGTCGCACAACGCTTACTGAAGTGAATATGCTTTATTATTATTATTATTTACAATGTAATACCCTTTAATATATTTCCTAAGATGCGGTATGGTTCAGAAAATCATGAAAGAAAAAATAAATGCAAACAAGAACTGCAGAAAATGGAAAATAAATTTGAACAAATTCATCATAAGCCAATGAGTAAATGAAGTGACTCTAACTTCATGCAATGGAGGTTAGTGCTATAAAATAGTTTATTCTGAGTTCTATTAAATAATGTTATTTAAGGAATATAAATTGAGGTGTATTGCAACCAGCTTGCTTGGAGTACTCACATGAAAATCTTGAAGCAATATCAGAATCACTCACATTTTCTCACCACCAGGAAGGAAGGGAGGAAGAGAGGGAAGGAGGAAAACAAAAAAAGAAAAAAAATTGATCTCTGCTGCTACAGAAAATAATTTGGCAGTTTCTTAAAAAAAAAAAACTAAACGTGATATTCAACCACATTATCCAGCCATTCCACTCCTAGATATTAATCTGAGAAAAGAAATAAATATTCATATAAAAATTTATATTAAAATGTTCATAGGAGCATTATTTGCAATAGATAAAAACTGGAAATAAATGGCAGCAACTGAATGAATAAAGAAATCATGGAATATTGGCACATTGCTGGACAAAAGAAAGAAAGAAAGAAATGAACCATTCAGATGCTCAGTAATGTAAATGAATCTCAGAGTGACCATGCTTAGTATAAGAAGCCATACCAGAAAGAATAACCCTGTATAATATCATTTATATAAAATTCTAGAAAATGCAAATGTGACAAAAAGTGTATCAGCAGTTGCTTGGGTGTGGAGTAGTCAGGAAGGGCAGAAGAGAAGAATTACAAGGACATGAGAAAATCTTTAGGGGTAATCAATATGTTCACAATCTGATTTCACAAGGGTACGGTATGTCGAGACTTATCAAGTTGCATATTCTAAATATCTACCATTTATCATATGTTAATTATACTTCTATAAAACATTTTAAGCTTTAATTTTTTTTAGAAATGACCTCTACATTTGAAAGAACACATTCTGTATTTGTTTTCATTAAAGATCAGGAAGAAATCTTTGGAGACTAAATTAGGCAATCCTGATCTTTTTTTTTAGTTATTAAAAAATATATAAATATTTTTATTTTGTTTGTTTATTTTTGTGTCGTGCTGAAGATCAAACCCAGTGCCTCAAATGTGTGAGGCAAGTGCTCTGCCACTGAACCACAACCCCAGCCCAATCCTGATTTTTGCTCAATGTCGTTATTCAAATTCAGGATGTCCAGGAATACCTGGGATGGTCATTTGAAATGACCATTCAAGGGTTTTTCTAGAAAACGTTTACCAGCCAACTAGTCCTTCCCCCCAACAAATGTAGGCATTCTGTATGTTCACAATAACATTATATATTTTGCTAATAAAAGGATTCATAGCACACAATTTACAAATAATAATACATTATCCAATATTCGTTATTATAAATTTCACAAATCTAATGCATTCCAGCAGAATACTTTTATCGTTTTTACCGAACTCTTGTTATCTATGGCTGCAGCAAGCGTGGCCAACTTATGCTAAAATTTGATAAGCAAATGTAGTTTCAAAATGAATAAACAAAGTGAAACATGATGTATGAATCTCATATTATGTACTGATGATCTAAGAGACTTATTTGCTGAATAATAGATTTTGAATATTAGAACAACATTTCCCCAACTTTGTAAAGCTTTTTATAATGTAATAGCCACAAGCATAACACACTTTAAGTTTAATCTACATTATTAACATTTCCTCCACTATTTTTCAGACAAGCAACAAAGCTACAAATCAAGCAAGGTTTGTCTTTGTAAATTTTGTTGGTGTAAACCACCGATGGGGTTGGGGAAAGATACACAATGGTACACCATAGACAGTGTTTCCATCATACAGACAAAATGAACTTGACCTCAACAGCACAAATAACAGGAAAGTGCAGCAAAGTTAGTAAGCAGTGCTGAGCTTTGAATATTTATAACCTTTGTTTTTAATATAATTTATGCAATTATATGTTTATATGATTTAATTTTTAATGATTTTTTTAGTAATTGGCTCAAAAATTCCTTGAAAGGAAATAGTTGGTTCTCAAGAACTGATATAAATTTGTTCCAACGTATTGCTGGCTCCATACCAGCTCTAAGGATTTAGGTCCTCTAGGGTTGGGGCTCAGGAATTCACATTTTTAATATCTCTGACTTAATACACTTGCAGAGAATCGAATTGCAATATTTTTTTCTTTTCAGCTAGTGCTATTGTCTGAACATTTATGTCCACCCAAAAATCATATGTTGAAACAGACCCCAGTGTTATGTATTAATGGGTGGTGATTTATTTGGTCCTGAAGGCCAATCCCTTATGAATGGTATTAGTGCCTTACAAAAGAGGCACAGGACAACGGGGGGGGGGGGGGGGGGGGGGGTGGGGGGGGGGGGAACTTTTCTACCATGTGAGGACCCAGCTGGAAGATGCCATCTATGAACTAGAAAGCAGACCCTCACCAGACTCCAAATCCACTGGCACCTTGAACTTGCACTTGCACTTCCCAGCTTACACAGCCATGAGAAATAAATTACATCTGTTGTTCATAAGATACCCAGACTCTGGTATTTTGTTATAGTAGCTCAAATGTACTAAGACAGCTAGTAAATAGGTCATTTTCAGAGGCAACATGTTATAGGGAAAGAATATAAGATTAAGTATTGAGAATATTGAAGCTCTCACTCTAATTCTGCTACCAAATCATATGGCCTTGAACAAATCATTAACCCTCTCACTTTTCTAAGCTAGTGGGGAGTCTGTAATACCAAAAAGGATTAGTAGATGTAATTTTTTAAAGGTGTACTTACATACTGAAGTTTTTATGAGTTTAATGATCGGATCAATACATAATTTTTCTTTAAAATGTTTCAGGAAATGAAAGGAAAAAAAAAAACACTTGTCTGGGAAGTAAGTAAAATTACATTGGCCAAATGTTTTGGCAATGAAAACACAGAGATTTATTAGGCCATTCCTTTCTCTTTGAGCATGTTTGAAATTTTCCAAAATGCATGTTTCTTAGAAAGTCACTAATAAATAATTTAGAATTCTTTCTGTCTTTAAAAACATATTTCACATCATCCTTGGTTTTCTAAGTGTTTTCATGGAACAAGAGGCCAGGACGCATCTGCTATGTATTTGTTACATTGGAATCTGAATCTACTTCAAAGTCTCAGAGACAGGTGGTGACTGAGCCAGGATCCTAACAGCCTTCTGCACTCTGAATCCTTGTGGGCCATTCCAATTGCACCAAGCAATCTGAGATGTTGCCGTACACCACTGCAGCATCCAACAGGAACAGGGAGAGGCTGATGCAAATCTTCTTAGTCAAGTTTCAATATTTATTCAAAATATTGAATAAATGTAGTGACATTTAATGTCATAAGTATTTAATGACATGCAAAATCAGGGACAAATAGTACTGTAGGTAATTAAAAAGCCAGTCACAAATTATCCTCTAAGCAGATTTCTGAGCTGCTGAAAAACTGAATCACTCCCACTTCTATCTATCATTTCAGAATGAAAATAAGAAAGAGAAAGTGGAATAGTGCAACTAACGGAGTATTTTCTGTGTTTCATCTAAGCTGCATCTGATTCAGAGTTTATCAAATAGTAAACTTTGAGTAAATGTATTTTCCTGAGTCTAACCCTAAACAGTTTCAGCTAATTATGCAATAAATACCTTTTGAGTGCCTCTTGTGTACAAGGCAACATTTAGAACTTTGATATTGTTCACCAATTTAGTATTTTACTATGTCTAATTATTATAAATTATTATCTCAATAATGCTGACAAAACTTTTCAGTTTGGGATATTTTTTTTCGGCACCTTCTGTCTAAATTCCACACGATGAATCTATCTGTATAACCTTCAATTAAAAGAGATTGTTAGAGCTGGGGATATAGCTCAGTTGGTAGAATGCTTGCCTTGCATGCACAAGGCCCTGAGTTCAATCCCCAGCATCTCAAAAAAAAAAAAAAAAAAAAAAAAAGAGAGAGAGAGAGAGAGAGAAAGAGAGATTGTTAGATTAAAATAATTTTTTAAAAGTCAAGAAACAAATTCTGTCTACAAGAAACTAACATTAAAGACATGGGTAGGTTAAAAGTAAAAGTTTGAGAAAACATATTACACAAACTCAAACCAACAGAAAGCTGGAGTGGCTCTATTAATAGCAGACAAAGTGGGCCTCAGAACAAAGTATATTACTGGAAATACAGAGGGGCATTGCATCTTGATAAAGCGGCAGTTCACCGAAGACATAACAATTCTAAACCTGCGTGTACCAAATAACACACTTTCAAAATACATGAAGCAGAAACAAATAACACTGAAAGGTGAAATAGAAAAACAATCTGCATTCTTTGAGCTTACCATAGGTATGAAAGGTAAATCTCAGATTCACACAGTGAGCTGAATGTTTTAAAGGAATTAAAGTAGCATCCCCTGGCACACACCAGAAGGTAAGACAAATTCTTTTTGAGAAAAGGCTTTTTAATTTAGACTCTCAGAGCTGCTGAAAAGCTGAATCACTCCCACTTCAATAGTTTATTTCAAACTACACAACAGAGCCATAGTAACAAAAACAGAATTCCAAATAAATAAAATCAACCAAATTCAAAAGTTCATGGTACAAGATCATCAAATACACAGGCCACCACAAATAAAATTTCAGAAATAATATATTTAGAAGCCAAAGAACTTTAGCATTGAAATTATCAAATGAAGAGTACAAAATACTTTTCTATATAAGAGAGACACAATCAATAGGCAATCAACAAAGTATATTAGAAATGCTAACAAATTTAGAGGAAAAACAATAGATATTTAAAATATAATCAATTCCTACTAAAGTTTCAATAAATGGATAAAATGTCAGATTAGTTATAACCAAAAAGAAAACCTGCACACTTGAAGATAGATTAGAAGAGAAACCTTTGTGACACAGGTTACCACAAAGCAAGACGGAATTAAAGA